AATCCTGTAGTGTAGACATACACTGTCTTCACCTGTTTCTCCTCTTACTCGCACAGTCATAAATCAGGAAAAACTCCACTGAAGTCAATGAAGAGATGCAGGTTTACTCCAGCTCAGAGGCTGGCCCCAAAAGGGCCCCATTTAATGCCCACTTTGCACTGATGTGAATGACAGCGTACGCGGCAGCATAATGGCCAGGCTGCCCCATAGAGTATGCTACCCTGGCCGAATGTCGTGTAAATTTCATCTCCAGCAAAGCCCTGGGCAGTCTGGGATTTTAGGAGATCACATTTCCCATAGCAACAGACAAATTACATGTAAATAAACCTACAGTGACATGAAATTAGGGTGCAGAGGGTAGATGAAAGATACATGGAATTGAAAGATACAAGGGAAAGCAATGAAAGTGACAACACTCTTATTGGCACTCTGCAAAGAAACCATGGAGTGGGAGACTGACCTTGTCCTAGTGGATGGTACAGGATAGCTAGCTCAGAGGCGTTCAGGATTGGGGCACATTGGGAGGGCAATACGGGGAAAAGCTTGCATTTCTGTGATGTTCCTTCTCTGAGGACAGAGCACTTCAATTTGTCATGCAGTCAGGTCTTGGCATGTGTCAGTGTGATGCACTTGCAGAATTTGTGCAATGTAAGCAGCAAGCTTTCAAAATGCATAGACAGCTGTGGGTGCATTTGTCTGATCTGGAAGTGAGGATAAGTCAAAAACTTTTGAATTAATTGGTTTGGTTTTTGTTTAAGTCAGTACAAACCAGCCATCAACTGGACCTAGCAGAATATTGCTTCAGTGGAAGCTTCTCTCATTCATCATCATGAACTCCAGGCAAACACAAGTGGGTTCATACTTTCACATGACCTTTTATCCACCCTCAGGACTTGCTGCCCCAGAGCCTCTTCGGTTGCACTTTAATCTTCTAAAGGTGCTGGTGGGCTCCGGGTGACGAGTCAAGAATGCTCTTGCATGCTTGTGAGCTGTGCTTTACACAAGCTGTACGGCAACTCGCCTTTGCTGGAAGGGATGAACCGATACTGAGCACGCCAGCGAAACACCCACCCTGGGCAGGGCGGGGAAGGAGGGGGGGCTGGGTTTGCTCTCACGCTGATGTGAATCAGCTGGCATTTGCTGAAATCAGTGGCGTTTCCTCGATATGAAGTGGGTGTGAGATCAGGATGAAGGCAAGTTCACATTTTGCTTGCATCAAAATAGGCTCCTGATCCTCCACTGCCCTACACCTTGTGTGGCCACTTAGACCAGTGCAAAACGAGTGTGAAATGCGGCCCGCTCGGAATGGTGGAGCTTTGCGCTGCCCTCGTGCAAAGGGTGCAGCAGCTCCAGAAGAAACAGTTCCCACCTGGCAAAACTCCAGGCCGGATTCCCAGCTGGTGCAAAGTGGCACAACGCCATCCGATTGCTTGCGACCTTATTCTGCTTGCTCACTGGTGAAAAGCACAAGGAACCCCACTGAAGTCCATGGAATTGCACTGGTGTGAAGAAGAGAATCAGATCCAAGGGCAGATTCATCCCTGACGTAACTGCATTACTTCAATGGATTTACACCATGGGTACATTTGACTCCTAGTCTCAATCCACCTGCCATAGGCATGGGCATAGCCAGTACGGATGAACCACTTCCCACCATTCTCTCCCCCCCCCAACTGAAAAATGGCTCTACCCTTTCCTCTGTGCCATCCTGGGCTGCAGGGGTACACCTCCACGTGCCCATTGCCAGTCACAGAGCTGAGCGAGAAGACGGGCGATAAGGAAGCACGATGCACTCAGAGGGTGGGCAAAACTGGATTTTCCAGCAGAGCAACTGACTCACTGAGGGATTTGTGATAATCACAGAAACCTCGCAACATTATGGGTGGGAAATAGACCCATGTGCAGCCTCCAGAAATCTGTACTGCGCCTCTCAGCCCAGCCCCTAACCTGATCAGGCAACTTCTCTGCAGGCTCTGAAACCTCTGACCCCCCCCTTCCACTGCCTCTGCTCCCCTGAGCTGCACACGGGTGTATCCCCTGCCCCCCTCCACAGGTGATGGCAGCTATTGAGAATGCAACTGAACTACATGGGAGACTCACATCTAGGGCGACCAGATAGCAAGTGTGAAAAATCGGGACGGGGGTGGGGGGGGGGGTAATAGGAGCCTATATAAGAAAAAGACCCAAAAATCGGGACTGTCCCTATAAAATCAGGACATCTGGTCACCCTACTCACGTCACCAGTGGAAACGGAAGGAAGACGGTAACCACTAAACTAGAATTAAGGCAGGAGAGTCAGTACTTGAGGCTCTTTCATGGTCACAGGAAACGTTCATTGAGACCCAGCGTTACCACTGACAATCTCTGACCCAGGGAGCACGGCGCGCTCCGGCACCTGGCTGCACATTTTCCATGGTTCTGCCTGTTGTTACTGACGATCTGCATTCTGGTGCCCCCTGAATCAGGGAAGAGACAGCACCTACCCTGAACAACCAACAGGCCAAATTAATCCCTGGGATAATGGAACCAATAATCCGAGAGTCCACGGCCTCCTCCCCATACACTTCCCCCCCCACACGCACACTGCTGCCTAGCTCACAGTGTGTGTGTCTACCCAGCCCCCCAGCGCCCCAAACTGCCAGAAGCTTAGTGGAAACCAATTGGGCATTTACTTTTTTTTTTTTTTTAATGCTTAGTTCTTCTATGGCATTTTCCAGCTATGAGGCCACACAGCCGTTTCCAAAGGCGGGATTAATGCTCAGTCCCACTTTACAGGTGGGGAAACTGAGGCAACTAAGCCAGGAAGTGACTTGCCCAAGGTCATGTGGTGAGTTATGGGCAGAGCCAGGCATAGAACCCAGGAGTCCTGACTCCGTCTGGTAACCAGGATCCACAGAATCACGTTGCAGAGCTTTAGAAACCTGGTCGATGGGCGGGGGAGGATTTATTCTAGATTCCTCCAGATCCCCCCTTATGCCCCTCTTTTCCCACCACTCCCCCACTTCCCTCTCCCCCGCTGCCCCCTTTAATGCTCTGCTCCTAACTCACATGGGAGAGGGACAGGACGGGGCCGGCAATTACCAAAAAGCAGGTTTTGGGGAGGCAGAGCTGACCCTCCCGTTCACACGGCCCCCACCTCCTACAGGCTCCCTTGTGGCCAGCTCATCCTCTTCTCCAGCTGGGCCCCACGCCTGTGAGTCCACTTGCAGCAGCAGGGCGCCTCCCCTCCATCCCCACAAAGGCAGGGACTGTGCCAAGAGCCTCATTCGCCCCAGCCAGGAGTGGCAGTAGGGGATCCCCTCACCCTCCATGTCTGGAGCAGCAGCAGTGCCCCCCGTTCCTCTGTTGGCAGGGGCCCTTCGGTACTTACCTGAGCAACTGGAACGTAGGCAGGTTGGGTCTGCTATTCACTCCTGATGCACACTGAGCCCTCTGGGGAAATGGTGGCAGGGAGTCTTGGAGTTAACACCCCATTGAGATGCATATGGCCAACTCACGTTCCAGGCTCTCAGCAGACTCAGGTAGACATTGCTCCCTGGGTTACACTTGGGTCATGTTTTCACACTTTCCTTCCCAGTCACAAGGACTAGACATTTGTCTTTTTTTTTTTCAAATGAATGCTGAGATTCTGATACAATAATCACAGGACTCCAGGAGCTGAGGCCCTGGGCCTGGGCCTATGACTTCATCTGGCACAGGAGGACCCTACTGAGGGAGGGCTGTTGTCTGAGGATGGAAGACCAAGTAGCCTTGTGAGGGTTGGGGAGAGGAAGATAGTGGAATTATCCCTAGCAGGAAATAAGTAGGGCTGATGCCTCAGTTTCCCAATGCATAGAATGGAGATAATCCCCCCATTCGACCCCAGGGGTGTATGAGGGTTACTGAGTGGTTCTAAGCACCCTTTGAGCTCCGTCCAGGAGCTAAGTGTTAATTCTGTAACATGGACTTGGAGGGAGGCAGACAAGTTGCAGGAAGGACGAGTTTGGAGGAGACACCCGGAAGTCAGTCTGTGGGCATATGGTTAGAATGCTGGCTGCAGCCTCTCTGTGAACTGTCCTCTTAATAAAGAACCAGTTTAGTTTTACAAGCCTGGAATCTTCATGTTATTACCCAGCACGCGGCCCATGAAACAACTTCCAATCCTTTCTCTGCCTCCCTCCCCATTTCCCAGTGGGTCCTGCCTATTCCTCCCAAAGCCCCACCAAGTTTGGCAAGAACACTTCCACTTTCCATCTCTGAACCTTTATTACTATGGAATATACAAAACAACCCAACAACACGGTTATAAAAACGAGGTCACGGGGAAATGTGAAGCAGCCCGGTTTTGAAATGCTCTCAGTGTCCCGGTGCTGGGTCAAATATAAAACGAGGCGTATTTATACATATACAAAATATAAAAGGAAGGGTACATTAGAAATGTATAAAACAAATGGCTGACGAGTGGTATTTACATCCGGGGTGGGGTGGAGGGGCCGTGCCCAGAGCCGGCAGCATCTGTTTAGCAGCCATGTTTCAATGCATCTGAGAAAGTCTCCTTGGAGCGAGGAGCTGCCGGCTGGGATCAGCCCTGTTTGAAGGTTCTGCATGACTGACGGTTTAGTAGAAAGCTGCTGCCTGTGATCGATTCAGCAACAGGCCAAGACAAAGGGCGAACAAAAGCATTCGTTTGTCTATGTGTAGGCTGCCATTGGGCAGCCTTATTAGGCGATCTGCTATCCCAACCGTGAAACAGAAACTCTGACCTGTTGCCTGGGGGGAAGAAAATACAAAATACAAATAATAATAATAATATTAATAATAATAAATTCAACCGAGAGAAGTTCCACGTTCACATTGAGAATGGATTGTCCAAGCACTTCCTCGCGCTGAGTGTCTCCCCCCCAGGGGAACGAACGTGTTCAAGTACAGGCAATGAGGCATGGCGTGAGGTTGTGTTCCGTTTGGGTCCAACTTGCCGGCTTCAGGAGAGAAGTCCCAGCGTAAGTGCAGCCCTGGGCTCTTTATAACTCCTTGAGGATGATCTGGATTTTGTCCTCTGCTTCCACTATGTCCAGTAAAAAAGCCATGTGGTTGCTGTAGTGCTGGATGATGTTGTTATCCATGTTCACCAAGATGCTAGGAGAGGAGAGAGATTGGATTAGGGGCGCATATTTCAAGCAGTCACTTTAACTGCAGAGCGGTGGGAACTGGGACATCCTGAGTTCTCGTCCTGCCTTTCCCACTAACTTGCCACGTGGCCTTGCGCAAGTCCTAGCACTTCACTGTGCCTCAGTTTCCACCTAGGTGCAATAATAGGACTGACCTACCTGGGCCACACAGGTGCTGGGAGGATCAGAGAGTCTTTTATAAAGAGCTTTGAACAGGCAAAGCACCATACAATCAATCTGCGTTCTTGTTACTAACCAGTTTGCAACCAGACCCTTATTGTGACCGACTGGTTCCTTTCTGGGGCTCTGCGGTAAGCAACGGGTGGCTTATTTCCACTTGGGAAGCCGGCTTGCTCATTTAACAACAGGAGCGGGCGAGCTGGGAGGGCACCCACAGAATACTGCATTGTCCACTTTCTCCTACCCCGGGCTTCAAGGCATTGCCGAGTTGGGCTGCAATGCGGAGAATTGACAGGGAGAGTCTTTTCCACTTACAACCGCCAAGATCCCCGTGCAGAATGTAAGCGCTGTACGCCCGTTCTCCCAGAGAGGCAGAGGCGGATTAAGGTTTTGTGGAGCCCTGGGCCAGAGCAAGTGGGAGCCCCTCCCCATCCCTTCCACCTGCATTCCTCCCGTATCCCCCCGGTCAGGGTGCAGGGGCTTCCCCGCTCTGCCTGGGTACTCCTGCCAGGGAGCGGGGTTGGGGTGCGGGCACTTGCCCCGCTCCACCCACCTGGCACTCCTGCCAGGGAGCATGGTTGGGGCACTTCCCCTGCTCTGCAGCAGGAGCGCCAAGCAGGTGGAGTGGGGCAAGCCCCTGCGGCCCGTCCCCAGTCCCCAGCAGGAGTGCTAGGTGGGCAGAGCGGGGTGGGGCACAGGTGTGCCCATTTTTCCAGGGCCCCCCAATTGGCCGGGGCCCCTGGGCACAGGCCCTGTTGGCCCAGTGGCTAATCCGCCAACTGTAGAGAAGAACACATGCTGCCTGAATATACAGCATCAGCAGGAGAGCCAGCACTCCAAATTCTTTGTCCTTCCAAGCGGCCACATCTTTCCTGGCCGCAGACTGGTTACAACTTCAGTGACAGTCATAAAATCAACTGCTTGGAACCAGAAATTATAAAGGGCAGGGGGAGAAGCATTTCAACAGCTGATTTAAAGCCCAGGCCACGGCTCCCCATCGTACCAGAGTTCCTTATTAAAATATCATTGATGTCGCGGGGCGTCACACGGCTATGTTCCCATAAATCACAGGAGGCACTCGGAACCGTTTGGAAGTGGCAAAGAGAACAAATCGTCTTTCATTGCACACAGCACGTTCCCTCCAGGTCTCTACTGGGATCATTAATGGGGCAATAGCATTAACTGTGCAATACTCAGAAATAAAGAGGCTTCAGTTTCTAGCAAATCTAGTAATTTGTCAGGCACAGAGGACAGGCCAGACCCTCAGTTGGTGTAAATCGTCGAAGTCCCTTGGCAGTCAATGAAGATACACCAATTGACAGCACCAGAGCATCTGGCCCATCCGTTCTAAGACAGTGCAGAATTCAAGGAATGTCAGATTGCCTTTGAAACAGGAAGTGCATCAAGCAGGTGAAGGGGCAAGGTTTGCCTTTTCATTCAGATTTGTTAATTACATGCTTTAGAATGTGACCGGTGCTCAATAATTTACTCTTCACTGCACTTTTCAGAAGATCTCAAAATGCTTTATAAGCAGGTTGATTTCCTATATCTAGGGCCGTTCAGTGGAGGGCATTAAACACGACACATGGGTAAACTGAGGCACAAAATAACTTGTCCAGAGTCATGTAGCTGTTACACAAACACAACAAGGAGGCCCAACCTCTTTGGCAATGAACATGAGAGAGGACAGAGATCCAGAGGCTGTGGGGGCAGATAAAAAGGTGAGTGGATGGGCAGCGGCAGAAGCAAAACAGTCACCGAGTAGGATGACAATCTACCCAGCTGCCAAAATCCGCCAACCCTCTTCTTAGATTCTTCAATTGCTTTTCCACTTTTGTACTAGGAGTTCTGCTTTGTAAGCCGATTCCAGTCATCCCAGATGTAGACAGCTGCATGCTACTTTAAACACAGAGTGGAAATCTAGGGCAGTGTCACACAGGTGTGTCCGACCCACGCTGTTGCCTTATGCAACCCAAAACCAAGGTGACTTTAAATGACAAATGAGGCATCTCCAAAAAGTCTTTCATATTTCATCCACCTACAGCTGGGAAAGGCATCCGGTCTGGAAGCGACTTGTCCCACCCAGCCTTATTTCAGCTTTGAAAAATGCTACCCACTGATCAGAGTGGGTGAACACGCCACTTCGGATTAAAAAAAGAGGTAAGTGTGTCCAGCTGTTAGAGCAGGGGGCCTCGGAAATTATTCCCAGCTCTGCCACCAACTTCCTGTGTGACACTGACCAAATCACCACATCACCTCAGTTTCCCCATCTGTAGAATGGGGACGCTACCTGCCTAAACTCAGGCATTTAGCAGCCGCCTGGTGAAAGGTCCACTATAGATGCTGAGTTACATTAAAACTATTAACTGAATCAAACCTTCATCTAGGTATGAATCAGACACAAGCTTTATGGGAGATGGGAAAAGTTGGGTCAGGTTTCTTCATCAGCTGTTTTCATGCTGCTCTGAACTTTTGACCAACATGGAAAGAGAATCTTTGCACCCAAAGTTACATGAGTTCTCTCCAGTTCATCCTGATTCCTAGACCTGAGGCACTGGGAGTCACACGAACCTCATGCTGTTGGGTTTCCAGTCCGATTTCTCAATCAAAAAGATTCAGGTACGTCATGAAGAGAAATCCAGACCTTAGATTGCAGATCTAGACCAAGCTCACAATTATATGAAGTTTGTGGAGCCACATTGGTTTATACCAGCTGAGGCCCACAAAGTAAATGCCAAGGAGAAAGATAATTGCTTAGGGTGAGGCAATAGGATGAAATCATGCAAAGGGAAAATGAAGGCCAGGAGAGCAGGAAACATTTCGCAATAAGTAGATTGTAGCCGAGTTTGAATCTGAGGAAGGTATTTGCTCAACAATAACTGGTGACAATGAGTTCCAAAGCTTAATTACAAGTTGGATATGACGGTATTTCATTTGGTCTGCTTTACATGTGTTGCCTTTTTATTTCCTTGTTCCTCCGTTTTGGGCAGGGATAAGAATCCCTGGTTGATTCTATCTCCCAAGCATTCATTACTTCATAATATTAACTTGGTATCAGATAGAGTAACAAACAAAAATCAAGTTATAGGTGGTTCCCTCAACCAGACAAGACCCTTTTCCCCCTGCCTCACAGGAACTCATCTGTGTAGGGGACTCAGATTCACACAGCTGGGTAGCATAGTCAGTTCCGACCCAAGTTAGCTCTGTGTGTGTGTGTGTGTGTGTGTGTGTGTTTACTGAAAGCTACACACAAATTTAAGCACCTTCTTGCATCTGGGCCTTGAGCCGTGAGATGGGATTTTCAGATGCACTCAGGGCTGCTTGTTGCTCTGTTCCCACTGACCTCAATATCAAACTCCCAGACAGATGCCAGTGCAGAGTGTGTTAGAAGATCCCCCCCGAGAAGCCCACTTCTCTCAGACTTTCTCATACTGACGTCAACGGAACGGGACAGCAGCGAGAGTCCCTTTAAACTACCCCGGCACACCCTGGCCGCTGCCAACATTCTGGGACGGTTTCTTCCACCTTGTTAGACGCTTGTCAGGAGCCCCATCACCAAAACCATCTAATGCACAAACTGGCGTCATTCTAATTCTCCTCTCTGTCTCCCTCTGCGCTAAAAACCTGGGCCTGCGCCAGTACAAACAATTCATTCATTTTCCAGGCAGTCACTGGTGCTTGCAAAGCGCGATCATATCTCTGTGTGCGTGGAGGACTCGCTGTCTGGATTTATGGAAATAAGCTTGGCAGCGGATGAGTCTTTCCCCATTCATCGGGGGAAGGGAGCGGTTCAAAGTTCTTTATTTCAGAACGCGTTCTGGAAAATAGCAATTAGCTCGTTCTCAGGGATGCACCCCTCCACTGAAGTCAATGGGCCAGATCCCCAGTTGGTGTAAACCCATGTCGCTCCATTAAAGTCAACAGAGCTACGCCATTTGACACCAGTGGAGGATCTTGCCCATTGTTTTCAATGGGGATCAAGCCCCGAAGGGTTTTTCACATGTGATTAGCACAGCCTCAATTGTACAAGAGACGCCAGCTATAACTCAGTGTCTCTGACTGCTAGGAAAACACAGAGCAGGAGCTGGCATTATTTGCACATATCTCAGCGTGTCTGAGTAACAAAGGTCTGTTTAAAGAGCGTTTCAGCTAATGCCCCAGAGCTGCACAGGATCTGCAAAGTAGCTATGTTCAGCAAGTGCCATATTGCCCTGCGAACTCCCAACAAAGCAAAACTCTCCCCCCCCCCCCCCCCCAGCATCTTGGGGGCAGTCACAGTGATTAGGTGTTTCTAAGGTTACGTTAGAAAGAGAATTTCCAAAGCAGCAGCTTTGGGACTGAAGCGGGAACTGACAAGAGAGCAGCAGTAGACATGCCCGGGCAGATCACTGACTGGGGGTTGGATTCACCTTCAGTGGGGTCCTCCAAGAATCACTTACAGTCTGAACTAAGAAAAGGCTGATTCCCAGAAGCCCTTCCCCCAGACTCCCCCAGCCCTGCCTAAGCACAAGCACTAGTTCTTCCACTTAGGAGAGATGTGTTTGTCATGGGGGGGGGTCCCTGTCAGGTCTGATTACGCCTCAAAAATCACACTTTGCACATGGTTTGGTTACAAAACAACCCAAACTCCCACCTGCGGCGCCAGCTCCAATCTTCAACTCCGAGGGCTTTTTTTCTCTGGGGTCACTTAGCAAAGAAAGCAAGACGCTGTACAATAACGTCCCCCGATGAAATTCTTGAGCTCTTTCCAGGCAAAGGATCACCTCGTGGCTAGGAGGGATCCTTCAACTTCAACAATCAAAGCCTCCCTTTCAGACAACGGCAGATTAACAAAGCTATTCGCTCCGTCTCCGAGGAGGGCATTGCTATTAGTTGCTGTTCGTTGCTCCCAAGTTATAATTACAACAGTACACAATAACGTCAAGCTGCGGCTTGGTGGCCCAGGACCATGGTTTTCCAGACACAACAAGGGCCTCAGCGGGGGTAGGGCACAGTGAAAGTGCACTCGACGTATTCTTTGTCTGGCAACATGAGCCCTTTGACAGAAGATTAGCAAGAATCCCGCTGCACGGCAAACCCGTTCTCTTGCTCTGCATTACAGTATCAAATGATCAGCTGAGAACGAACTGACCGTGCTGCATACCCCTCAAAGTGTCTATTCCCATAAGAGCTGCCATAGTGGGTCACCCATTGTCCATCTTGCCCAGTGTTCTGTCCCCGACAGTGGCCCGTACCTGAGCTTCAGGGGGAGTGTACAGAACAGGGTAGTTATGGAGTGAGCCAGTCCTGTCTTCCACTCCCAATTTCTGGTTGTCAGGTTTAGGGACACCCAGAGCATGGGGTTGTATCCCTGACCATCTTGGCTAATAGCCATCGATAGACCTGTTTGCCATGAACTTATCCAGTTCTTTTTTCAACCCAAATAAGTTTTTGGCTTTCACAACATCCCATGGCAATGAGTTCCACAGGTAAGTTGTGTGCTGTGTGAAAAGTCCTCTCGTCACTTTGTAGGGCAGGGTAGGGATAGGGCTGTCCTTGAAGTTAATCTCCCACAATGCCAGGGCAGAATGTGCAGGCACCACCACTACGACACGGTTTTGCTTTTCTGGAGTCATTGAAGGAAACTTTTAGACAGCTCAACCCTGGGAGCTAAAAGGCCACCTGCTTGTTTCCGGGAAGTCATTAACAAGCCCTCTACAATAGCTAACAGGCAAAGGTGTGAATCAAAAGTACCAGAGTAAAATACTGTCCGACACGGACTAAAGCTGCCTTCACAAACCCTGTGTGGTTATCAAAGACAGACTCTAAGAGGACTTTCCCAGTCTCATTCATTCCATTGTTAGTGGAGTTGGAGCCCAAAGTTCTTGGGTTTTTGGAGACCTCTTGGAAATTTTTTATATCACCCCTGAATTTTTTTCCCCCATTGAATTCCATATTGGATTGGCAGCCCCAGAGACTGAGTCCTTTATTTATCCACAGAGCACTATGGGAAATGGGTCAGATCATCAGCCGGTGAGAATTTGCATAGCTCCATTCATGTCAATGCAGCGACACCAGTTTACACCAGCTGATGATCTTGCCCAATGTACCTTAACAATGATCTGGAGGGACCACCTATAGGGGAGAGAAGGGAGTTCAGTCTATGGGTTAGTCAACACTAGGAGCCAGCTAGCACCTACAGAGGTGGTGCTTTGTGATGTGAACACACTGGAACCAGGTGAGACGCAGCCCCTCGGACTCATTTCACATGAGCCACCAGACAACCAACAGATGGTAACAACCTTCATCACCAATGACCTAGCTCAGGCTTGGACGGCTGCTCTAGACAAGTCCTGCTGCCCCAGCACACCAAACCAACGCACCAAAGAACAACACGTTTTCATAGCGGTGCCTTCAGCAGGAGATACAAATCCTTTTCTTAATCAAGGCAGGCGTTTAGGTCTAAATTCCTATTAAGGTTCATTCTGTCCGTGGCATCTATATATTCAGGGTGCGTGTTCATACGTAGGGTCTGACCATCACCTACCAGAGTCCAGGAAGGACTCCCATGGCTGTGGATCACTCCATTAGCGAATGATGGCTGATGGGTTGGCAAAGCTGGGAACGAAGGTGCCCTGTTTGTACCTAACCCTTGGGAAGAGCCAGTGGAACACAATGCAAAGCTTTTTAACCCTGCTATTTTCTCTGCAGCCCACAGTCTCCACACTGGCCAGTCCTGATCCGGGCAAGGCCTGATGCCAGTTATGCACACTAGTTGTGAGAAGCAAACATTCGTACCTCGCAGACTGAGATAACATAAATTCACTCTAAGCCCAGGCTTTCACTCTGAGAGATCATCCATTAAACCACCCAACCAGCTCCTCCCCCCACCTTTCCCCAGGAGACTTCACCACTCAGAATAAAGTTAGTACAAACAAACGTTATCCCAAATCTTTAAAGGGCAGAAAGAGTTCTGTGTTTTATATGCTCCAAATGGCCCAGACCTCCCATAGCTTTGGTATTTATTATCTTGTTAAAATACGGTTTCATCCCGTGGCAGGGCACCAAAGGGTACAAAGATCCTAGGCGCCCAGTGCAAATGCAGATCGGAGATTTGCTTACCCTCGTTTGCACTTTTTATAGACTTTATAGATGCTTTCTTCAGGCAGCCCATATTTTTCTGAAATCTGCAGGAGAAAACGTGACACTTTAAAATCTTTTTTTTTTTTTTTTTTTGCACATTCAGAATGAAATCCCAGCAGATAAAATAAAAGGGAGCTTTGCCGTAGGGTCACTCCTCAATGGAAGAATTTCCCCCCCTCCTCCTTATAAAAAAAATGCTAGAGCAATGACATAGCTTATACTGGGGTTACTACGGTAACCTGGCCTTTTGCTGCTGCAGCTTGGTTCAATGGACTCAGGAGACCCGGGTGCTAACTCCTGGTTCCATCACTGAAGTGGTACGTGACCTTGGGAAGTCACCTCATGGGGGCACAGAGACAGACTAATGCACCTGTGCAAAGCTTCTGCACCTTAGAGCTTTTGGTTTACCAACAGAACGTGCATGTCTGACTCTGATAGCCCTGAATCCCTTGCGATCCCGACTTTTGCTGAGGTTCTGGGTCAAGCTGCAAAGGCTTCTAGCCAGGGCCGGCACAACCCATTAGGCGACCTAGGCGGTCGCCTCGGGTGCTATAATTTGGGGGGCGGCGACTGCGGCGGTATTTCGGCAGCGGGACCTTCCGCTGCCTCTGTGGGGGGCGGCATTTCGGGGCGGGACCTTCCGCTGCCTAGGGCGGCAGAAAAGCTGGCGGCACTCCTGCTTCTAGCATCATAAGCGCTTTGATGACGCTCTGAGCAGGTTTGGAAGTTGAGGGAGAGTTTTACATTCATTCGGCAGCATTTTCTGTGAAAGGTCTTGTCTGCTTGGCTGTATTGCCATGGGGAGGAAGCGATAACCTGACATTCTGCAACCTGCCTCTGCTCTGTTTTTAAAAGTTTGCAAAAACAACAACCCCTCCCCCCCCCCCCCCCCACAGCGCTGCCATAAAGGCACCATTGGATCATTTAGGTTTATTGTTTGTTTTATTCCACCCCCCAAAGAGGAGCTAGGGTTATCGGGGATTCTTCTGATAATCATCACAGAAATATGCCCTGTGTGTTCCTCAAACAGAAAATTCCATCCTAAGGTGGATAGCAGGTAGACTTGCCCTGGCTTCAGATCCCCCGGAGATAGAGCCAGGGAATGGTGAGGGATGTTTTACAGCTGAAAATACGAAAACACTGTAATAAAAGGAGAATCCTAGGGCTTTTATACTGTGATCTGAACAAAAGACTGCACTGATAAGGTTTGTGCTCCTGGAGAGAGCTCACCTCTCAAGCTACAGCTCTCAACGCATGGGCTGACTTTTTCACTCGGGTGGAATTCTTAGCACAAGGCCTACGCACCATTTAGCTCCTCCAAACAGGGCAGACGTGAGATAGAAGTGGTGCCCCGTCCTTGTGCTGAGCCCCTGCACAGGGAGTTAATTCCAACACCCCCTCTCCCCTCCCCGACCCCTGATTTCCGAGAACACACTGCAGTTTATGTGTCACAGTCATGGCACGAAACTTACAGCATTCCTGAGTCCTTGGAGATCTGGTGTCTTCAGCATAAGAGCATCGAATACTTCCTCGGATTCCCTCCGCACATACAACAAGACTGGGACAGACAACAGGCAGCTTTTAAACCACTGGTTGCAGGTGTTTGCAGCACATTTCCAAAGCTTGTAGGATCCCGTTTAAATGAAGATCCCGAATGAGTTGGGCCATGTGACGAACCACTTGCCAAAGGAATTGAATTCCCAACGGGGAGGTTTTGGAAGCTGTTTGGGGCAGGGACCCTCTGTTCTGTGTTTGCACCGCACCTAGCAACATGGGGGCCTGGGCTGTGGTTCAGGCTGCTCGGTGCCACGATAATCTCAATAATAACAATACCTCTCTTGGCATCTTCTTCTTTGGCTAGTTTGGAAGGTGAAGGATCAAACTCATCCGAGAACGAGGGACAGCCCCGTTTTAATGGCAACCTAAGTAAACACGAGAGGAGACCGTCAGGAAGACGTATGACAGAAGCAAACATTCCAACAGTTAAAAGGGAGGTTCCCAAATGCCGGTGACAGAAGCATTACCGGAGTTGGACTGTGGCCAGGACACCGAAGATAACACCCCTCTCCTTGAGTGCAACGGGCTCTCCAGTGATCACAAGTGGTGAGGGGTTTGGTTTTATATCCCAGGCAAAAGACATGTAATGTCTCAGAATTACTGGGCCCGGTCCAAAAGCCACTGATGTTAATGAGAGTCTTTCCACTGACTTTCGGATCAGGCCAAGGCGGGTATCTGAACTTCCCACCTGGGTGATTTTGAAAGCAAGGGTTTCTCTCTCTTTCAGCTTCCTTTACAGCAGCCTCTGCCTTTGGCTACCTTAGCCCGTCCGAGCCGGTTCAGGGATCATTCTGATTTTTAAACATGTTCCGTCACCCGATTAGCAGGATACCACACTAGCTTTTCAGGGTGGTAAAGGAAACGTCACAGCAGTCTTTTTGGGGGGTGGGGCTGAGTGTTATGAGAGTCCATTCCACACCTTTCCATGAGAGAAGACTTCAGTGCAGGCAGAGGGTGCGCCTGCAGATAGCTGGGATGTGTGCACACGCTAAGCTCCACAGGTACCCGAACAATTACTGGCCTGAAGAGGTGAAAAGATTGATGAGCCCCTGTCCTTTCCTACCTGTTTACGTTGTTAGGAACAGCAGCAGCAGGAAGCACCTTGAATGAAAAGAAAAAAAAAGAGATCGTTTTAGTTTAACTTTTGTTTTCAAGAGCCCATAAGATGTCCCTTGATGGGCTCCCCACTAAGATACTCATTCTCGCCTTAGATCTCACGGCCTGATCCTGTCCTTGGCTACAGCCATGCGGCTGAAGGCAGAATATGGCTGTGTAGGGTTCAGGGGAGGGATGTGCCTATATGGGATCAAATCTTGGCTCCATTTAAATCCAGGGTAGTTTTGCAATTGACTTCAGTGGAACCAGGATTTCAACCCATGGATTCTTAGCGTATCCCCTGCTGCTTGGGCTGGCGGGAAGTTTGGCATCCCTTGTAGAGCGGCATTATCCCCTTTTCAACGGGAAGAGCCTACCCATCAGCAGGACATTCGGGAGTCTGGGGGCCCGTGAACTGCCTTGTTGGGATGTGCCGTGGGGTGATGCGGTATCATGACAATGACGTCATCACTGGAATAGAATAATTCAGCTGGGGATGGAACAACATGGGCTGGTCTCAGGTTTGCAAACCCAACTGATTTTTTTGTTTTAAAGGTCAGATGATTTTTTCCCCTTATACCGTCATTTCCCCCTAGGAAACTGCAATTAAAGAACAAACACACATCCACGCTTTTCTGACTAAGTGAAAGCCCGACAGAGTCTCATCCACTGCGATTCCTGTCCCACAGACAACAGTCCAGAATATACATCTTGTCAGAACCAAAAGGAGCTTGAATCTCGCAATCGATTCTGAATCCAGAGCCCATGGTTTCTCAGCAGATTCTGGTGTGGCAGACCGAGTTCTCCTGTCCCCTAGCGTCAACACTGTTGCACCAAAATATCATCCTGTTGCAAGAAGACGCCACAATGTTGTCCTGGCTGAATTTGCCCATTTGGACCAACTCAGACAGGTGGCAACTCAACTTCTTGAGCGATGGCCTCCAGGGCACTGCTGAGCAGTTCGGAAGCCCAGCTCTTCTCAGCTGCAGGGAGGATCATCGGGAACAGAGAGAGGCCGGGGAGAAGCTGAGGGATATCCCACAGATGGAGGTGTTTTGAATGGAGGAATTTTGCTAGGGGTCATTTTGTGCAAATGCTTTTGCTCTTTCCAGCTCAATCCACCGTGCAAATTTGCAGGTAATCCTTATACAACCCTTCTTGAGAAAACTTTTCCTCAAGTTCACCTTTCCCCAAATTAAATCTCCCTTGACCTTGAAATTGTTAGTTAATAAAATTGACGCTGTGGGTTCTTTTCCTCTACACGATGCAATTAGTGTCTCCAGGACGCACTCCATTGACCCAGCTTTCAAGTTGTGTGTGTGTGTGTGTGTGTGT